GTTTGACTAGTTTGACTAGTTTGACTAGTTTGACTAGTTTGACTAGTTTGACTAGTTTGACTAGTTTGACTTGTTTGTCTTGTTTGTCTAGTTTGACTAGTTTGTCTTGTTTGTCTAGTTTGACTAGTTTGTCTTGTTTGTCTAGCTTGACTAGTTTGTCTGATTGGTTACCTGTCTTCCATGAATGCAGGGAATATCTGCCTGTCAATAAGGTGTTGTCTTGTTCCATTCAGCATGACATAGACGACTCCACGTGCTCGTTTTGCAAGCTTAAAATCCAAAGAATCTTCAAATCAATTCAATCTTTAGATAAATTATCAGAATACCTTATCATACATTGCTTTTCTTATCTGACTCCGTATGAAGTAAATTATACAAGCTTAATGCAAAGATTTATATATCATTTATTGAATACATTAATCCTTGATTGACCCTGAAAAATAAACACTAACCTTCGCTGCTGCTAGTCCCCAAAATGCCTTTTGCTTAACGCATTCATAAGGACATGACTTGTAATCTATTCCTGGCCAGCTTTTGCTACCACACCAAGAAAGACCATTTAAGACATACCTAAACCGATGATGTAGTAAGTATTAATGAATATCAATACCATTCATCATGTCAGTAAGGAAGGCAAAGAGCACTTTCAGTGAGTGAAAGAGGAGCTGAGAAGCTGGCGGACAACATTGAATATCACGTGTTATAGCCATCAAAAAGGGAGCTAATTTGCCATTTGTTTTTCTTACCCTGGTAAAGTATCTTCCAAAGTGACGTATTTGTTGAACAAACCGGAATAGGCATGAGTCCATTCCCTCGTGCCAGACCACAGCAATACCTTTATTAACAAGAAACAAATATGCTCTCTATGTTAAACCCATGAGTAAAATAAAACACTTCAAACAAGTCATCATCAACTTCTTCTTCAACACATATCATCGTAGTAGTTTTTGTTTTCATCTTTCTAAAGGTTAGGCTAAAAGGTTATACACAAAATAGATGGATCTACTTCCCGCCATCATCTGAACCCAAAAGCATCTAGGGTCCTTTAAAATACTTGGGTCGGGTGTACTTTGCCAGTGGATAAAACAACATAAAACACACAAAACAAGCCCAAAAGAAACATGGGGCCGCCTTGAAATCATGCGAGTAAAATGACTCACAAGTCGATCATTTCGGCATCTATCGTGTGAGCTACGTAACGAGTCACCGAGTAGTGAAAACAAAAAGTAGTTCCAGTGAAAAACTGATTACAAATTATAGGGAAAAAGGTATTAGAATGTATTTATAACTAATAGTATATCGAGCAAAACTGTCGCTTTTTGTCGTTCTCCCGGGTGGAGAAAAGGTTGTGTTTCGGTGCAAACAATAAATGTCTTCAGTCTTTTTTAAAATAAATGAAAGTACATATTCAGCATTGCTTTATATATATTAAATAAAAATTCACCGTTCGTTTTGAAGAGATTTAAGGGTTTGAATAGGTTTTCTTGTATGTTGTACATCAAAACATTGGAATGACGTCTTHATAATGAGTGTCGCGCACTAAATTCATGCTTACGATGCGAGTTAACAATGCCTGCGAACGTCCATTATTATTTTTATAACGCTGCATTTTTTGAAGTTCTCTTTAAACCAGCTTCAGCTGAACGGGTCAACCTGTATAAAGAATGTTAAAATTAACTTACCTTATCTATCAGTTGTTTTTCCCGGAAATGGTTGAAGAAGTCTCTATAATCTTCTTTTTTTACTTCACATGGACTTTTATAAGAAAACGCCTTCAGAAAGGATGTCAAAAGCACATCACAGTTTATGTTTTCGGGCTCAACTAAGTTAGCGTTCTTGTTTTCAACAAAGTCCCAGCATCGACCTAAAAAGATTTCCCGTAGATGTCTTGTCGTTCCTTTGGTAGGTTTATACATCCAGCTCATTTTTTGTTTTCCACTACGCAAATAATAATATTTCTGGATCTTACTACGAACAAAGGCTTCATTATCACTACTACTTGGATCAGAAGAAGACAATCTTTCGATTTGATTCTCAAGCTTATGAAAAATGAGGTTCTTTATAGAGCTGAAGCTATCATCCTGCGAAACCATACTTTCAGAGCCACAAACAGCTGCTTCTGCAAATATATTTACTGTATTAGTTAAGTATATGATAATATATCTTTTATGGAACGTTTTGTTAAATCATGATCAATTCGGGTAGTACGGGAAGGATTTTTTTCATTTTTTTTCTTAGCATCGACGCAGTTTAGATTTAACAACGTTTACTGCCTTTCTAGAATAAAGGTTTGGATTTTAGAACTGAAACTGGAAGAGATTGAATGTGTCGTTGAATGTAATTAAGCCTAAAGTTAAACTGCATTTGCTAACTGAAATAGCTGTGTTGATTCTGCTAACTTTTGTAGTGTGGCCAGTCGAGTCGAGTGTACATGAAACTTTCCTTAGGTCTGTCTTTTCATTTGACTCAGATAGACTGTATCTCTAAATATTCAATGTGACTGTTATTATCATCATTAGCATTGGCATTGGCATTGGCATTGGCATTGGCATTGGCATTGGCATTGGCATTGGCATTGGCATTGGCATTGGCATTGGCATTGGCTAAATAATTTGAATTATTCTTTATCCTTTTTATTTTTGCGTTTTGGCTGTTTTTGCTGTGTATCAAACTCATACCAAGTCACAGGGAAGCGATCCATGTTGACAAATGCAACGTTACTGCGCATGAGCAGATAATTATTTGCAGCAAAACGGCTTTTTACTGCCACGCAAATGAACACAATACTATTTGCAGGTAGTTATTTGGAGTTGTCCCGGCCAATCAAAACGATGGAAAAAATAATTTGAATAATAAAACATTAATTGAACTCGGTTATCACAAAATTCGCCACTAACAAATTACAATACTTTACTCAATCTCGTCCAATAATTGCTTAGTATGTACTTGTATTGTTGTTAACAACCGACCTGATGTTAGTTTGAAGAAGATGAACAGCCACCCACACAGTTTAGCACTCATGTCATTAAGACAGTTCACATTAAATACGGATATATATATGTAGAGCCAAATCTAGCTTGTTTTCTGAAAAGATCTGAAAAGATAGAGTAGAATGAATAAGTTACTGCAAAGGAATTCGAACTGTCTACGGTTATTCATTGTTGTAGAAAAATAAATAATATTAGTAGTTGTCATTCTTTTCACTCAGGTTAGATTATTTGAATAATATAAACTAGTATAGATGCAATCCAAAGTACAAATAACTACCTTTTATGTTCACATTTATAATGATTACTGAACGATATAGAAGAAATTATCGTCAACGGAAAAATCTGTTGTTTGATCGTCACAAAGGAACGGGCAAAATCTCTGTAATTAATTCAAATGATCCGGCAGGTATTCTTCCTAATGTACCTGTTGACTTTAATGGGGCTCATTTACTGTGTTCGTGTCGTGTTCTTGTCTTTCTCAACTGATTCTATTAGGTTTCCTTACCTTTTACTGGAGTAAATTGTTGTTTTTTTCACGTTCTTGGCATCGGTACAGTATTCTGGACTAGTAATCCATAGCTATAGAAAGTGATGGTTCCCACAGGTTGTCAGGTCAATTCTCGTTTACGGATGTTTGTGTTAGATAGCAGGTACTAATATAAAATCCCGGATACGAGGATCTAGGGCCGGGGTGGCGAAGACGAAAAATACGAAAATTGAAAAAACAAAAACTCCTGCAAAGCATATCTTTAACATTTCATTGGGTGTAAAAAAACCTTTAAAGAATGATACTACAGTGAAACCTCTCTGAGCGGACACCCAGATAAGACGGACACCTCTTTAAAACGGACACCTCTTTAAAACGGACACCTCTTTAAAACGGACACCTCTTTAAAACGGACACCTCTTTAAAACGGACACCTNACGGACACCTCTTTAAAACGGACACCTCTTTAAAACGGACACCTCTTTAAAACGGACACCTCTTTAAAACGGACACCTCTTTAAAACGGACACCTTTTTGCAGTCCCTGCCCGTTTATGGTCATTTGACTGTATTTAAACTCTCTATAAAACGGACACCTCTATAAGACGGACTACGGACACTTTGAAGAGGTCAACGGACAAGTCATCTACACGTTACTGTAATTCATGGGATTAAAATTGCAAAAATAAACGAAAGAAGTTGTGATTTGATTACGTAGATAAATAAATACTAAGGAAGTAAATTTATTTTAGAGCTTGAAAATTTTTAATTGTTGTACACAATACTGTACGGCATACATATACAGTGTTCATTTACAGAACTCAGAATGACTACACATGTGTTCTGCACTAACTACAGTTATGTGTACAGTAAACAGTGTAAATAAATTTGGATACCTTATGTACAATGTACGTTATTTTAACATTTAAAAATGTGTTAGAAATGATTAAAGTGCTAACAATCTACAGTAGAGTTGTTATCATTTGTACAGTGCATTCTCACATAGTTGTGCAAGTTTGTATATCAGGTGTCATATTACGTAATGTATGTATAAAACGGACACTTGGCGCCGGTCCCCGGGAGTGTCCGTCCTAGAGAGGTTTCACTGTACTTGGTTTGGCCTCGATATCGTGGAAACACTACGATTTATATTATGCACCGAATACCTGAATACACTGAATAAACTGAATACCTACTTAACCGTGACGAAAGCATCCCGTCGAGTTAAATCAGTTCAAAATGAGTGCAAGTCCACAAATTCCACAATGATTACTCAACAGAGTTAATCCGTCGCTAATCACTAAGGCCAAGTACAACAATGGTGCAGCTCAACGGGGTCAAGGCTCCCTAGCCCTGGTAGTGGTGCACTATTGAGTCCCCTGAATGACCCTGGATTACAGGTTAAGATAATTCGAATTAGTTTCGATTGGTTTGAAAGATAGAAAAAAAAAAACGAAAACCATGCTAAGCCGGGGGGGAACCTCCCAGAGARAGGACTACCCAAATAAGGTCACATGGGGTAACAGGGAATTGAATCCAGGACCGCGCCGCAGAGATGCATGAGAGGCAAGCCACACCAACTTGACTCCTCTAGCGTATATCTCACAAGTGTTTGTTAAAATGAGTGGAACGGCACCAGGCCGAGGATTAGCGCGTCTCACACGTGTTAGTGAAAATTAAAGTTAAAGTAAAGTTAAAGTATACCAACGGATTATCTCACCTCCGGAACAAGTGTTAGTAAAATTAGTGGAACGGCACCAGGATTAGTGCATTTGACATGTGTTAGTGAAATGAATGGAAGTACACCAAAATAGTTCGTTTGCATGCATGTTACCCTGAATACGAAAAATAAAAAACTATTCACTATTTTTGTCGTTTATGTTCATAAAATAACTAAAGGCTGCTGGTGTTTATATTCATAAGGTGTCGTTGATATCAAAGTTACTACCGGCTGTGATGTCATACAAGTCATGTCAGCAGGTCGCTAGATTTTCACCGTTAGACACAACGCCAAAAATCGAGACAAAATATGTGCGATTAGTTTTTAGGTCGAAAACTGATAATTTCCTACGTGGAATGGCTATCTTGAAAGCTAAGGAAAGTTACTGTGTGCTTCTATTATCTTTAGTGTTTTCCTTAGGGCAGTCTACAACGAATCAAGGTGAGAAATGAAATTTGAGAGATATCTCAAGCGTATCAATAGTAACATATCGAGATATTCTCTAGGCATGGATGACCTTTTTAAAGGTCGCCTGGAAGATCGTGCAGATTTAAATTCGAAATAAAGATTGTGTTTTGCTAGGCTGTAAACTCCATTTTCATTGTTATAATAGGGATGGTACGTTTTTTATTGGGGTAGGGACATTAGTGAAAATTGAAACTTTTGTGGAGGATCAATACTTTTTTTGACAAAAGCTAGTTCCTTGATGACTTAATAGGAGGATCGTGAATGTCTTACTGCTTGGAAGGCGGAAAGGGCTACACTTTTCTTTAAAGTTAACTGCGAACCCGCCAACACCCAATTCAAAAAGTACTTTTGCTTAATGCTCTTTCTTCCATCAATACTTTTAATTTTGACCCAAAATGTTTGTGTGTAGGGAGTAATATTACCCTTCTCATTATTACAGCCGTAATGAGTCAAAACAATCCATGATTTTTCACACTATATGTAAGTAGTGAGTAGTTCAAAATTGTTTTACTCATTTTCGTCGGCACTCGACCCAGACATCTTTCAAGACGTCTCGGGATTGGTTTTTGAATGCCATCAATCCATTTTCCATCGGTCAAAGTAGTTTGTATTTTGTAATTGATGTAAAACAAGCCACATCCAAGACGGACTATGTTGATGGTGAACTGGTGATTTTCCAGTAACGCGACTTGCATTCCTGTCCTAGCAAGCAAGGTTGACTTTAGTATTTGTCATCAGTTTTTTTTAACAGGTATTTTTATAGTAAAAGGTATTCTATCGAAGTTCATAAAAAGATAGAATATTTCTTTTATTCTGAGAATATCGGGTCATATTAGTATGTCATGTTTTCACTTTATCTTAATTTATGAACTTCTAGGGCTAAAGAAACCTGATAAACATTGCATTCATATTGTATCTATAAACGTGCCAAGCGATGACTCTGCACAATCCACCAACAATTATGCCTTCAAAGCAAATGTCAAAGAAGCTTTTCTCAGCAAAAATCCTGGCTTATTTCGTATAAAACATGGAGGATTTTTGGGAATCAAGGAAACTGTTGCAATTGAATCTGCGAAAAATCCTGGATACTACCTTCGTCACAAGAATTACAAGTTCCATCTACAAAAGGCTATCAACTCTTCTTTTTTTGGTAAGAGTGCATAAATGTCCTCAAAAACAAAACAAAAACAAAAACAAAAACAAAACAACAACAAGCAAACGCGTGTACGGCTTCGTCGTCTTGCTTTACATAAGGATTTGCATTGCTTCGATGTTTGTATAGGGGACGAAAGATAGGACATTCATCGGTCCCATTCATCAGTGCCGGCTGCAACAAAACTTTTGTTCATTTTTCTATTATGATGTGAATGTGATATGTAATAATTTGTTTTCCAGCGAAAGATGCTACATTCTACCTTTTAAAAGTCCAGAACGATCCACCCTTGTATGCATTTGAATTATATGGCCATCCATCGTGGTTTATTATGCATAATAAGAAGAAACACATGTTAATGCTTGGTCATGTAAGAGGGTCAGAAAATGAAGTAATGGATTCAACATTTGCCTTCAAAAAAGTCCGCTGCCTTCAGAAACGTAGACAAGGTACAATTTTACTTGTAAGAACGTAACATTATCATCGATGGTAGTGAGTGTGTTAAAGTGCAAATGAACCCTTCGACAATACTTTCAATACTGATCATACATGAAGTAAATAGTTGAATGGTAAAATATTTCTTGATTTGAGTGATGCGTTTCTAAATTATGAAGGTTTATACTTTCAATATGCTAATAAGTGTGAYGTCTATTAAGGCTTAATTAAATATACAAAATCGAACTGGTTCATAGATACAGTATTTAAAAAGCATCATTATTTTACTCATGGTTTACATGAAAGCTATTTAAAATTTTTATTTTCAAAATGACCAGCATTAAGTATTACTAGTTACAACAAAAACACTCAAATACCTTACCTGACGTCATCATCATTAACATATTGGAAGTATAAACCTTCMTAACTTAGAGACGCGTCACTCAAATCAAGAAATATTTTACCAWTCAACTATTTACTTTATGCAGAACCGATACTGAATGTATTGTCAAAGGGTTCATGTGCACTTTAAACCCTGCTAATTTCTGACGCCTGTAACTATCTTTATTCATATCCAAGGACAAGTACAAAAGAAAACTGTGGTTGTTGGCCATGGCTCATTAATGGGTATGTATTTTAGTATATTACACAAGTTTAGCATTCAATGCATACCGCTGTTTTTGAAGACCGCAGACTCATTTCAAGAGAATATGATMATTTTCTCTTGCTCATTTGCACAGGCTTGGCCTCGTTTATAAGTCACTCATTTACAGATACCGTTAAAGTTCTGTGGGGTTTCAAAACAATATTATTTATTGTGGCAAAAACTGTGGCAAATGATTTGCTCTTATGAGTCTTTAGTCATAAATCACAGCGGTATTTACCAATATAGAAAAATATAGATTATCACTTGAGACAAGTTAAGTGCTTGATATCGTTTTTATTCACGAGTTTGCATATGATATCGCGAACGAGCGAGTCTGCGAGCAAGTAAGTATTATGATTTAGAAACGAGTGAATAAAAAAGATATCAGGTTCTTAACATGCAATAATTTGTTTATTTGTTTATTACGAAATTTACGATTTCCGGTTGACCGTGAATTGATATCGTATCACTGCAAACTGATAGAAACGTGAAATTTACGACTGTGTTTTATGCCGAATTGGAAGTGATAAACAAATAGGGATAAAAAGAGGGATTTTAAAGCACATGAAAAAAGTAAGTAAAAAGTGCCTGAAATCCGTCAAGCCTGCGCGAGAATATAGGTGAGTCAATGCATGGTGTGAAGGAAAGCCTTTTGTCATTTCCAGTAACAGCTGGCCTGTTCCCTACCTACTAGTGTATGTTTCATTACATCGGTGTACAACTGAGTCCTGTCCCAAACCTATTGAGGATTTGTACCATCCCGTGCCAAAGCCCATAATACAGCTTGGGCTGCCTGTGGTTAGATAGAAGAACAATGAAATCCATTTCATCTTGGGAATTGAATTGTTTCTTACGTAAAACGATTGTATTGTTCCTGCCATCTAACATGGCTGCCGTCTTGTGATGGTGCAAACCCTCTGTTGATTTGTTAGCGGTATCTGAAAAGAGCACAGAATAATTTAAACCTTGTTAAGAAGCTGGCAAAAAGATGTCAAAAAGAAAACAAAAACTAGAAGAAATACGATGGCACAGTATTAATTATTATATAATAACTGTCATAAATATCGCGTTCTGATTGGTTGAGAGCGCGTGCTTTATGAGAGCACACAGCACGCACGCGCACTCTCAGTCATTCCTATTCCCAAAAAAGGGTTATTATAATATGTATTTTATAAAAGCGTCGAGAAGTGCTCCGCGTGCACACAGCACGCACACAGGGGTTTTCTATTTATTTATCAATTACCATACGAAAACTCGAGCTGTGCTAGCCTGGATCGAAATGCTTCTTGGGGAACGTTTGCTGTCTATATTGCTAGATAATTCTGCTTATAGAGCAATGCGAACTCTCTTTATACTTTCACATTGTTGAATTGCCAAATTAGTTCAATCATTTCCCTTGACTTCCGCAGAAGACCAGTCTGACGATGATTCGAGTGATATGGAACATAACGAAGAATATGGTAGGTGTATTGAATAACTATGAGAGCCCTACCCGAACCCTCCTAGAGTTGTCCCCGCCTTCCGCGGTAGTTTGCCTATGTAATCATTTCGGTCTGGCTACGGACGAAGAATGAATAAACCAATGATGACTGACACTGTTCATGATGATGATAAGGTATCTTATTTGTCTTTGTGTTGACCCTATGGATTCATATGGCAGCTTCTCATCGTTTCAAAGGCAGTTCGAGAATAACATCACAGACACGTTGATAAGTACAACTGACATATTCCTTTTTTTCTGATTCCCAGTTAACGACAAAAATGCTAAAACCGCTCCTGCATTTCAAACCAGCATTAACGAAGGTATGCAACATTTGTTTTACCTTGAAATATACCTTAACATTTTGGTCCACATAAGAATGAAGATGGGATGAAGCGTTGGTTCTTAAAGAAATTGGCTCAGTTTCGTTTGGTTGATTATAATATATACATTTATCGTTATATGTTCATTGACGTTCCAGTTGTCATGAAAAGTGGCGAGAAAGATGAACCAAACACGGCTTCTGTAACCGTGGCAACGGCAGGTAACCGCACTTAGTGGGCAGTAGGATGACGCGCTTGGATATTTTAATCATTCTCCATTTCTTCCATAAAGGGCATGAAACGTATGATTTGAGTGACTTAGGATCAGATATTAATTAAGAACATGCGTAATAGGTAAATTACGAGCCTCGTATGAAACGACTGAAGAAGAGGGCCAATGGGCCTTTCACAACTTCAAATCGCGTAAAAAATGAAGCTTACCGCCTCATCTCTTTAACAATTAGACTACGAGGTCGGGTTTTCTGAGTCAATCAATAGCCAATCAGATTGCAGGATTCGTGATTGTATGCTAGTGGTTTATGCTAACATATATTATATATATATTATATATATTATATATAAGAATTTGGTGACAAAAAGGAGGATTCCAAAATAACTATAATCTATCAGTATCAAATTCGGCAGTACTTTGCATAATACGCTTAAGAGGTCTTAAGCATATCTAACAAGCTTCGTGTAAAACCGTGTAAAACGTAAAGGGGAAAATATAGAGTTATTTACCGTCCTTGAATCGGTTCGGATAGGAAAAGACTGTACCCCCCGTCTTGAAAACGGACCTGCTTGCCGGTAAATAATACATGTGTATAAGACGTGTATGAGACGTGTATATTACATGACATCAAACTAAGAAAGGGTGTAGCAATGATTTGCTTCCCATGCCGGAATATATCATGCATATCCTAGGACTTTCATACATTTTCTCTGATAATGTAACTGATCCAAATACTGTAGAATCTGGAAATGTGGCCAAAAAAGAGCAAGATATCATACACGAAGTAGAACAAGGTACAGTCAAGAGACATTGAAAGTTTCATCTCCATACCAATTCAGTCTTTGTGATAGATGTATTAAAAAACCCACTGACTCTATACCAATTTGAAATAATTGTCTTTTATTATCTAAAGCTCTTTGACAAGAGTGAAAATAAGTTTTAAAATAAGTCCCTAACAGTCCAACCATGAGATTTTCACAATGGCTCCCAAAAGACTGAGGGGTGACCCACCATATACTGCAGGGGCCACAGGGAACCCAAATGACTAGATAACACTTATTACAACACAATTCAGTCTCTGTGATAGGTGGATGTCTGATGTCTGATGTCTATATTGAATTAATTCCTTTGCAGCATTTAACGCGTCTCGCCCCCAACAGAATGGAAGATCATTAGATGTCATGGAAAAAGACATAGAAAGAAAAGTAAATGATTTAGCTTCATCTTTGTATGAGCAAGATAACAAAAAGGCATTTACTGACGAGACAAAAACTGCTGACGTAGTAATACAGGACAATGATGTGGACAGTACCAGTACTGAACCTGATACACAAACAGTAGATCAGGATGTTGTCATCAAGACTGAAGAATCTGCGTCTAAAAGTCATGTTCTACCAGGCCGTTTCGTCCATAGCACACAAGTACAGAAGACTAATAAACCCACTCAATTTAGTAAAAAAGAACTGAAGACTGTAAGCTCATACAAATTTACAAAAAATGACAAAGCAAGTTCAAATGTTGTGAAAGGCAGTCCAAAGCTTGTCAATGAGCACTACGACATTATAGCCCGGGCATCCCTTGCGATACCCGAGGGAGCTAAAGATAAACGACAGAGCAGGATGATGGGATCAAATGGCGAGCCAAAAGCAGACAACAACAATCAGATAATCAATAACCAAAACCAAATCAAACGTTTACAAACGAAAATAGAAAACACTAAACAACTTTTCGGCAGTCTGGGTGAGAGTGTGCACATAGTAAACACATCAGTTGCAAGAACTGACCACCAGGATAATCATCCTTTACACAGCACTTCTTTGCTAAACAATGATAGCAACAAACTGAAGCCAAACGCAACTAAACCCTTTCATCGATATAATCCCCAGCAAAGGCTAAATGGAACGCTTGCCACAAACGGAAGACCAGTGGTTTGTAAGTAATGTCTAATATGTTATGCCGACTAGAATTACGTGGAAATGAGATGATTAACCAAAATGTTACATTCAATGGGTCACGAGGRAAATGTTAAATGGATCAGGGTTCGCTTAGCTATAGATTTATTTATCCTAAAGTTAATAATATTTTACAACCATCACTACTTGTCAGAGGCACTTCTGTGAGGATCACTTGATGTGATTCAATGCTCGCCACACATACATCCACTATAGAACTACCACTACTTGTCAGAGGCACTTCTGTGAGGATCACTTGATGTGATTTAATGCTCGCCACACATACATCCACTATAGAACTACCACTACTTGTCAGAGGCACTTCTGTGGGGATCACTTCATCTGGTTCAATACTCGCCACACATACATCCACTATAGAACTACCACTACTTGTCAGAGGCACTTCTGTGAGGATCACTTGATTTGATTCAATGCTCGCCACACATACATCCACTATAGAACTACCACTACTTGTCAGAGGTACTTCTGTGAGGATCACTTGATGTGATTCAATGCTCGTCACACATACATCCACTATAGAACTAACACTACTTGTCAGAGGCACTTCTGTGAGGATTCAAAATATTCCTTATTTCAATGTTAAAAATTTATCCACGTGTTGATGAAACAAACTCTCCTTAGATTTTTCAGAAACTTGCCAGAATTCGCTGCCCAACGTTTGTGAGGTATGGGCACAGAAAAGGTATTGCCTGACTTTTAACGAGCTGATGAAGCGTTATTGCAGGAAATCATGTGGGCTTTGCGGTGAGCAAATATTTGGTTAATGCGCATGCTGTCCAAAAAAATTACCGATCAGTAATTATATGGATAATCATAGTTAATCAGATAGGAATGAATTAAGGGGCTCATCTAATGTCTAGAGACTAGTGCAGAAAGTAAAAATCATGGTAGTTTTTTATAAAATGGTAAACCCGGCATAACTGATTTTAATTACATAACTTGAGTTCCCAATTTCTTTCAATAGATCCAATTGTTACAACGGGTTTTAGTCCGTGCGACAAGTCGTGTGGAGGCGGCATCCGACTGCGCATGATCAAAGTCAACAATAGACAAGTACTTCAACGAAGAGCCTGCAATACACACGAATGTCCAAGTATATATGATTGATAATTAATGAATAATAATGATATATTACAAAACTTTATAGTGCATATCAGTCAGCATATTTCACCCGATATTTTTTAACAAAATTTCAAACATCAAGTCAAGGTTCGCGGCATCTACATTGACCAAAACCTTTTTGCACTCAGTTTTGCGTGACTATTCTCTCAAACACACACACCCGATTTCAATGTAGGTCTTTCTCGCGCGTTACAAATAATATGTTTTCATAAAATATCTTCACAGATATATTCTCTATTTATTCAGCTTTAAAATCGTGTATAACAGTACAGAATAGTATTTAATGCGACGCAAAGGTTAACAGTAACCTTATTTCAGAAAATCCTTTTCTCTAGAATTTAGAACTACATACAATATCGATAACCAAGAGAATATGGAGTAAGAGAGCACATCTCCTTGCCTTATGATAATTATTTGAAAATCTATTTTTATCTCCGCGCGTAGCCTGAACTGTTTTTATTGTACGATTCGTGGTCATGGATACTAAAGAGATCGCCAGTGCTTTATTGCATAGACTAGACTGCGAGCGGTCCCTTTATTTCCCTTGGTCACTGTCCTTCTGTCTGTCCGTGTCGATTGGCCGAAGAAGATTGGTTACGAGTCGGCGGCTCAATTGACTTTTTTTAAATATTTAAATGCTTGAAGGGGAAACGCACGTGAACAGTTTGCACGTTTGCACGCAGGGAGCCCAATTTAGATAAAAGTGGAACTCAGAAAAATTGATAATGTCCATTTTTTACGCGCGCACCTTTGTTTTCCTATGTGGTTTCTCTGTGGTGTCTAATGTCGTTGATAGACATGTATAAATACTCTTACAAGCTTCGGTCTGTCGTGCTGTAGGTCGTGGTTCAGGTCTAAGCCGGACCAACGCTTTTATTTGATTATAATGAGAATTTACGGTTTAGCAATTCGTGATGACGTAGGTAATAAAAAGATATAACTAGCTAAAAACTAGTGTGAGCTGCGTCGGTGTTTCTAATGAAACAGTAATGATGAAAAGGTAAATTATACACCGTGAAAAGATGAAAAAAAACTTACATCTTTTCACGGTGCATAATTTACCTTTTCATCATTACTATGACGTAGGTAAATTTGATTAAGTCATTAAAGAAAGTAATACCATGATCACCTCGGGATCCATTGTTTTTGGATGAACGTTTAATCACYAACATCCCTCCCTCATGAATGACATGAAGGAAATTCAGAAACTAATTATCCCTCATTCATATGGATGAGGGACGATTAGTAAGTAAGAAACTAAATATCCCTCATGTTATTCATGAGAGGTTGTCCCTCATGTAACGTAATCATCGGGACACCGAGTCTAAATTGACCCGGTTCGAAATCTGATGCATTTTTAATGAGCATGCATACCACCCTGCAACAGGCTTTATTCAATGTGGGATAGAGAAATTGGTCTTAGAGTCGGATTCTACACGCTAGGAAAAACTTTGCGCATGCGTTATAATGGACTAAAATTACCAACTTGTTACAATCTAATGTTTTACACAAATGTTAATTTTCTCGGTGCAAGGGCAGCCTTCACGCATGCGCAAAGCCATTTTGAAACAAAAAGCAAAAAGTTAACGTTTATTCAACCACTTTATTGATAACGTTTATTCAACCACTTTATTGATTTTTCACACGTCTTATTTAGAACTGATTGTAATAATAAATGTTTAGTTTTAGTACTCCATGCAGTGTGTCTTTTAGTGTTCTCTGGAACTGTAGTTTCTCTAACACTCTCGACATCAGCGTTTTTAAAAAGCTAAAACGACCTTCCGCCATTCTGGTCAAGTTGTAGTAAAGCAAAAATTTATTCCTTGATTGATATGTTTTCTGTGTTGACAAAAAGMCATTCCAATGAGAGTTCTTAAACAAATTATTATGTCATTGAAGTAGTTTTAAGAAAACATTTTAAGTTTTAATTAGCATTTTGCTAACCAAACACTCTCTTACTTGTGCTTCCAAGAGTAATCATTCAGTCAAAGTTCTTTATACAATGAATTTTGATTTAGTAGGCTAGAATTAAGTAGGCCTTAGTATGCTACCAATTTGCCAAATATTTTGCCAATGTTTACACGGATAAAACARAAACATAAGGTACAAAGTTTTATATCTCCCATGAGACGATAAATCAGATAGATGGATTAGACAGTTTGATAGCAACTTATTAGTATTCAAGTTCGATTTGTTTTCTTTAATTTCCTCGGAAATCATGGTATTACAAACTAATACCATGGCAATTTCGGGATATTAGTGATTAAATGTCCCCGAAGCCGAGGGAGGTTTAGTAAAAATCCCTCGGCCTACGGCCTCGGGCCTTCCACTAAACATCCCTCGGCTTCGGGGACATTTAATCAATAATATCCCTCATTGCCATGGTATTACTYATAATAATCGCTAACGAAGCGACGCCGGCGCTGCTTGGCACGGATAGTGCAGCGGTGAATACTCAGAGCGTATAGCTGATTCAAACCAGAGAGACCGTTGCGGGTTGGAAAGGACGTTTACTTTTAAGATAAGTGAGCCCTATTTAGTATCTATTCAGAAAAAACATATATCAGTGAACTCTATTTAGTATCTACGAATAAGTGAAACAAACAACTGACTGTAAAAAACTTGCGACAACACTGACGCATCTTTACATATCAATACCGACTTCTTACCATTCACATTACGACCACACCAGAGGTATAAATACCATAGACTGTCTTTCGTTTACTCACTAGACTCTGAAGATGACTTCCGTTTTATTCGTCTAAGTAGAAAGTTATTTCAACATCGTCTAATATATTGACATGTGATTTTTAAAACATTTATCGCTCGCATTGAAGTCACTACGATCTGAACAATCAGTAATCGTATGCTAAAAATATTTCAGGCTGCGCACGGAGCTAAAAATAGATTTTCAAATACTTTTCATGGGTACAGAGACCTTTGTATGGGAGATGTGCTCTTTTACTTATACTTTCTTGTCATAATGACTTATCTATTGCCTGCATGCCTGGCTACCTGCCGAAACGAACAGCATCACTCTGTAACTAACAAACATCTAGAGATTTGAACTGACAGTTTGTCTTTGATATGTTTGTAGTCAATGGTGGCTACACTCCATTTTCTGACTTTAGTGAATGCAGTGCCACCTGTGGCAGAGGATTGCGCTACAAACACAGAACCTGTACACAACCCCCGCCGCAGTTTGGAGGAAAAGACTGCACAAGACTTGGAAGCCCCATTAAAACCGTTGAATGTCATGTGGCTAAATGTGAAGGTTAGGAAGCCTGTATAAAATACTTCTACGTCTGTCCTTTTGCATTCTTATTTCAAATCCTTATCCCAACACACACACACACAAACACACACGCACACACACACACACACACACACACACACACACACACACACACACATATATTAGTTAGATACCTTTTTTTCATAGGGGGTTTCTCATCTTCAACTTTTTTTTGACTCTATATAATGTACCTCATTACTAACACGCAAAAATGCATGAGTTATATCATGGTTATATAATCAGAAAAGGTTATGCAAGATGAAGTTGCAGTGAACGCATTGCTAAGTTTTTAGAGAACTCTATTTTACAGTTAACAACGAAAAGAAACTCAGTAAGGAGACTAAGGAATCACATTCTCTGAAGCAAGGTTAGTATAATGAACCATTATATGTAATCTGCATGACCTGTCTTATCGTTGTCATATTCTATAATAAAACAACATCCTGCCTATAAAACTACGTGAATAAATGTATATGTAACAACATACACCTAGTTAACAATTTTATTCTTCACTTGACTCTGGAGATGACTTCCGCTCAGGTTGTCGAAACGTCAGTCACACCAAACACTCTTCAGGACTACATCCACCCGGATGATCATAATACTTCGATTAATGATATAGAATTATAGATAAGTTATAGTGCTTGGGAACGAGGTCATTCCGGGCGAAAGACCCTTGGAAATAAATTCGGAAAAATTAATTTCCGACCTCGCTGGGAATAAACCATTAGGTCCACATATTCTGTGCTTCGATTAATATTCATTTAGCAAAACAATGAAGCGCAAAAATTCCATTTAGTCTCTGGTAGCCCATATATTTTATAACTCAGACTAACGTTTTTCGAAATAGCCGTATACACCTATTTCAAAAACAATGTCGTTTTGGAGATCTGTAATCTGAGACCGAAATGAATTGTGGATTGTAAGCTGCTTAAACGGTTTGGTGATTTAATAAGCCATTTCACGGATCCCTTTTATTCAACCTCAGCCTCGCCAGCGTGTAATTATTCTTTAGAATTTGACTACAGTCCGCAGTAATGAAAGGAATTTACACATCAACGAACAATTGAAACACTTCAAAATTTCACAGATTGTAGGCAATTTCTAAAGAATCTATTACAAACTGAAGAAGCTGAGGTTGAGCCGCGGGATCTGTGAAATGGTCTATWAGTAGTTCGCAACAAATCATATTATAAAATAACTGTTATAAATCTCGCATTTTTGATTGGTTGGGAGCGCGTGCTTTATGAGAGCACACAGCACGCACGCGCCCTTTGCATTTTATAAAAGAAATAAAAAACTTGCTTGCAGTGCTGTGTGGAGTTATAAAGCACTTGGGAATTGGCTGAACACTCGAGAAGTGTCGAGAAGCACTCCACTACGCGTCATACTCCTCCTAACACTTCTCTCGTGTTCTGCCAATCCCCGCGTGCTTTATGACTCCACACAGCACGCGCGCGTGTTTTTATATTTATTCAATATAAATATACCTACTTTGAACGATGACCTGCACTAACGTATTTAGATTTTTTGACGAGAAAACACGTAGTGCCCACTCTCAGATTTCAGATCTCCGACCGACTTTTTTTGAAATAGCTGTATAAGGGGGYGGTTGTCAATTGGGACTCTGTCCTGTTACCGCCTCCTGTCACATGCTCGTCTTTTCGTCTTCTTCTTCTTCTTTTTCTTTTTTTCTGTCCGCTGTACTGTTTGTAATTAGTCGTTTAGGCGTAATGTGTGAATTTTACTTGGTGACAAAATCAATAAAATAAAAATAAAATAAAATGAAAATACCAATCGGTACTTGGTACATTTAACCCCGAAAGGGGGGAGGCATAACAAACTCTACTCGCGTGCCGATTGAATCTGCACTGATCTGAATAGAACCCGAGCGAGACCTCAGAGCCAATGGGTATAAATATTACCCACATCAACCTGACCAAATGATTAGTCCAGACTATTATTGTGTTTTATCATGAACAGGAGGGAGGGGTGCCTCTATTGTTTCCGGCCTTTCATTTCGAGACCGATTCTTGTTCTTGTTGATATAAGTAAATCCAAAAGAGTATGAGTACTCTCTTGGTAAAACCCCATGGTAGCTGGAAAACACACCAAAAGAAAGGCTGAGCTGCAGATTGAAATGCGTTTAAATACTAAATCCGCCTGTTTTATGGTCTTGTGTAATCTGCTTTGTATTTTCATCTAACCATTTGTTGATATTTGACTTTAACGCGGGACTTTACGACGATGTTTTGCACCAAGAGCATATAGTTAATTTTCTCATGATTTGCTCTCCAGCAAACGATGACTATGAACACATGCCAGAATATCATGTGGAGAAGCTAAGCAATGGAGGATACACAGTAAAAATAGGTAACGCATGAATATAAATGGGCCATAAATTCTATGCCTGCATGGAATATCAAGTCGCGTACAAAGAATACAAGAATACGAGATGAATACCATACAATACCGCATGAATTTAACATGCCATTTTTCATTATTTTTACAGACACCCCTAAAAAGCTAAATTCTGGAATAATTAAGCATATCAGCGGCAATTTGTATCAATATGTAGACAGACATGGAAAAAAGAAAATTGTACGATTAAGTAAGTGAAAACTCAATAGTTAACTGAGGCAAAAGGTAGGGACGACAGGGACGATACAGGAATCTCAGATGGGGGGTTGGGTTGGGACTAAACCAAACCTGGGGAAGGTCTGAGGGTATATTACTCTCGAGGAAATCTTTAAAATATGGTTTTAAGTACTGTTATTTATTAGAATGATTTTCATATGACCGTGAAAGAAAATAGACCATTTAGTTTGTAATAGTTGATAAAGAACAAAAGAAAATCATTGGTTTAGAGTCTACTACTAACTATTAGTTTGCCTATTCTTTCACGATCATATGAAAATCACTCTAATGTTTGTTTGTTTCCATTCAAACTATCATAAAACTACATATGATAATTTCCAACTGCATTTTCCTCTTCTAGAGGGAAGGCACGGTAAATCGTTTCATGATCACCACGTTTATCACAAAGGAAAACCAGGTATCGCCTTCGTAATATGTTCTTTTAAAATCTTTCTGAACGATTATATTGATAATTTTTTTCTAAAACTGAAAATGTCTATCAAAAATTAGTGGCAAAGCTCAAATGTGGTGATTCAAAATTCCCAAAGTATCACCGAGTGGAGTCCAACTTTCCACCGACCAGGTCAGGCCTTGACAACCAAAACAGAGAATTAGAAGATGATGATCCTTACAAGATGTATGAAGATGGAAAAATTATGTACGATAAGTATGGGATACCAAGTGGCACAACGGATGAAGTCGTCAAGTCTTCGGCCTCGTGAGTACTGGTTATAATATTGGTTTTGGGGGAGGTGTGTGGAGGGTGTGGAGGGAAGGTGTGGGGAAGGTATGGGGGGAAGGTGTGGTGAGTGCGGGGGGAGGTTGTAGTAACTTAACGTAGTTGGGACAATCCACCTACATTGGCAAGGGTAAGTCTTTATAATCTGTGCATTTATAGACCATACAAAATTATTCTCCACAAGAACAAGAACCACGAACTAGTTGTCAGGGAAGAATGTCTGGAGTCCGGTATGTATAAAGTATTCTATGTATTCTAACACATATACAGCTTTATTAATATCTCTAATATCTCTTTATATACTTTTAATTAATATATTGGGTATTAAAATACCCAAGATATTCTATTATTAACTCTGCATTCTGATGCAGTAATTCAAATTATCTTTATTTAAGAAGTCTATTTTGAAGAGAGTTTTCTTGCAAAAACAAAGGGCAGATATTTGAAAATCTTTAAAGCAATGGTAAAAAGGTCGCTCGAGTCTAGCATACCGTTAATAGAAAATACAACTAGTCTAAAGGAGGAGACGAAAAGTCACTGAAAGAAAACTGATCACCATCGCACTAATAGGCGGAGGAGCTAGGTTAGCTAGGTGATGAAATGCTACCTTCTTTGTCATCATATTCATTCATTGTTGTTCCAAATTCATCCATGTTTAAATGTTGAACTAGACTCGTCTGTTAATCCTGATGATGGTGATGATGAAAACAAAGACTTTCAAAAACCCACTCAAGGTATATAAAAACATTATCGTGCAAATAATAAGACATTCGCATGGTGGCGTCCTTTGATTCCCACTTCCAAGATGCTTCGCGAATTTTCTTTCTTATTTAAATTTGCATTCCCTCATGAGAACAGTAAGACAACTGGTGCTAATTAACTGAAAAAAAGAAAGTGTGCAAGGGAGTCTGGTAGTAGAGGTCAATGACGCCATCATGCAAATGTCCTATTGAGACATCGGTGCTTGTCGGGTGTTCTAAAGACTTTGTGTGTGTTCCTTTTTTCAGGCTGCTTCATTTCTTTAAAAATATTGTGTTTTGCAGGTTTTTATGGTTACAATTTTGACGATCCCACTCATTCATATGGGTCATCCAATCTAATAGCTCAAAACACTTTGGGTAAGTATGTCATATTGTTCCGTACATCTTGTCATTAAACAAGCTGTTATGGAAAGGATCTATTTGAAGTGAAGACCGCTGAACTAGGGTACAGTGGGCTACAGGAAGCAGTTAGCTCAATTACAATGAATTATATCTACAATTAAACCTGATGAATACGTTAGTAGATCAATATCTAGACATTAGCCTTACGATTGTAACGAGGGATTCTTGGCCTTTACAAACCAACGTACCCGATAAGCATGGCAACATGAAGAAGACTGCCTCAATGAGGTGTTGGGTCCTGCTACATATATGCACAAAACATAATCATGAAGACAATTTTGAAAAACTTTAGGGAACGAAGTCAGGCAGGCTATGGGAAGCATAGGAAGAGCAATTGACTATGATACAGATGCTATAGCAACGAGTTCTTTAATGCAAAAAGGTAAGGGACTGTGAAATAATTATCAGGAGGGGGAGGCTGAAAAACGAGATATATCAAGCAAAAGGTTAGGCAGTACCCCCCTTAGAAACAAAAT